TCTCCATGCTTTTTTCTAGGTCATAAATAATGCCTGTGCAACTCAAGCCATAGTAAGTGTGCTGTTAAACTGTGCTCATCAAGACATTCATCTAGGAGAGACCTTGTCAGAATTTAAAGAATTTTCCCAAAGCTTTGATGCTGCAGTGAGTGACCACTGTTTTCTCCATTTTGAGTGTCACAGTGTTACAGCTGTGGTGGTTTACAGGTGTTCTGTTACTTCCTTTCAGATGAAAGGTTTGGCACTGAGCAACTCAGAAGTGATTCGGCAAGTTCACAACAGTTTTGCCAGGTAACATATGTTTTAAATCTGGCTAAAATTTGAGCAAATCCTTTTTAATCTCAGAGGTTTTAAAATTTTCTTTGCAGACAACAGATGTTTGAGTTTGATGCAAAGTCTTCAGCAAAGGAAGAAGATGCCTTTCACTTTGTAAGCTATGTTCCTGTTAATGGGAGGCTATATGAGCTAGATGGCTTAAGGGAAGGACCAATTGATTTAGGTAACATTTTACGTTTTTGCTGAAAATCCTTTATTTTAACAATGGCTTTTTGCAACAAATTGGTCATGTGTTACAGGCTCAAAGGAAATTATTTATTAAAACAAAGAATATTTTGAAATTTTTCTGAATGTGCTGTAGGCTTGTACTTCCTTGCAGTCATTTATATTATTTTAGTTTTGTTGGTCTGAAAATACAATTTTCTCCCTGCTTCCTCCACATCTCTGATGCTCTCTTTTCTTCATTTAGTAATCAAGTGATCAGGTCTCACAATCCCTTCCAAAACCTTGAGTTTTGTTGCAAAACCAAAGTTTACATAAAGGGAGAATATATACAGCTGACTCCAGACACTTTTTTTTTCTGTTATGTGGCTTGTATTTACACACTGCCCTCTTTCTTCTTAGATAGCAAGTGTTTTCCTAATGGTTTAAAAGAAAATAGCTTTGTCCTCTGTAAGACAGGCTTCTGTTTGTCTTTCTTAATCTTTAATCTTTCTTGAGATATGTGTGCCCTGTTGAGTCTTGAAAAGCTCTGCACTGCCTATCATTGTCAACAACAACATGTTCCACACTCCATTCCCAGAGTGTTCTCCCAGAGTTGTTGACAATTTTATTTATGCTTAGGCTGAGCAATGGCTTACTGCTAATCTTGTCTTTAGCCTGTCTAGAGATACTGGACAGTCTTCAGACTTAACAGTAACATCATTTGTGTGGTAACAAGATCATGAGTCTCTAAATTTACTTTAAGGTCTTGAAATTGCAAGAGAGACATTTTCAACTTAGGAAATCACCTGTGGATATCCTGTCATATATCTTGAAATCAAGTTTTCTATTATATATCCTTTTATGGTTTTTCTTTCTGTCTGACTTTTTAACATTATATTGCATCTACATAGAGAAAATCAAGACTTAATATTAAGCAGCTGTAACTGTCCATAGTGTTTTCCTTTGCTGTCTACTTCAATGTTGTCATACCAACTAATTTCCCTTGTGTCATAAATACCTTCCCCTACCCCATTATTTCATGTTATCAGAAAAACAAACATTAGGTTGTTATGCCCTTAAAATGTAGCTTTGTTCCATTGCTTTGGTCACTGCATTAGCTAACTATTGTTATTAATAAAATATCTTCCACCTCCTGAAAAATCACCTGAATAATTTCAGATTGCAGTAGCTAAGGAAAAACCTGTTATGTACTCTGAAGTTGCTGCATAAGCCTGAATTATATGAGTTGACTTTGAAATAAATTTTGCTGTGATACTGAATTTTTTCCTGTGTTTTTCCCAGGTGCATGCCATCAGGATGACTGGATAAGTGCAGTGCGGCCCGTCATAGAGAAGCGCATACAAAAGTAAATGGTTGTGATGCCTTTAAAATATAGCACCTTACCTATGCTTAAACATTCCATAGTCTTACCTTCCTTCACTTAAAGGATTTCCACCGAATTTCTAAGCAATGACACTTATGCATCATTTCTTTATGCATATCACTGTGTGACTTGAGAACCTGTTGCCCAACATGAGGCAAATGTGATGATGATAGATAAATCTCAAATACACTGTGCTGCTGCATAATTAATCCAAGTAGGTGTCTGTGTAGTGAAGAGAGATCCTACGAATGCTCTGGAAAAGAAGATTGTTATCTGTTACACAGCTGTGGATCTTTGTGAGTGAAAGCTAAGAGTGTCATGAACATGAATAACATTTGCCTATGCACTTAAAATTATTAGATGGCCATCCTGTCCATACAGCTGGTATTTAGAGATCAGAAGTTTTTTTTAAGGAATGGTTTGCCTTAGAAATTTAAGCTAGAAAAAGTATGGAACTTTCCTACTTCTTAACTCTGTTTCCAAACTGCAGTCCCAAATTTGTTAGAAATAAAGTTGATTTTATGCCATTTGTAGAAAGCAATTCTAAGTTTTTGCTTGAGGGCTTGAGAACTTTTTTTTTTTTTTTGGGTAAGCAGAACAGTTGTTTTTGGAGAATTTAACCTCCAAAGGGCCTGATAGTCTAATTGTTGAATGTACTTCTCACACTGTATGGAGAAATCTCCAATATTTTCTAACATGTAATAGTAATGAGAAAGTAAAAACTATTGTGTGAAGCATTTTCTGTAAGATCTGATGTCATGTTTTTTTTATTTTTTGGACAGTTTCAGTATTTGTTTTGTGACCACAGACAGGAATAGTAAATTTTGGGGAGAGAAGGTAATTAGGAGTTACCTATTGGATAGAGTTAATTTGTGGTCTGATTTTATTTTGTAACAAGATTGGATCTGTAGCACAATTTAATTTAATAGACCCATTTAAAATTTTGTTGCCATGAAGTAAAATCAAGGAGGGGGCTTTTGAGTTGTCATGTTGGTAACTAATTTTGAAAGCAGGTTGTCTTTGTTGTTTTGTTTTACTGTTCCTCATCTAGATACAGTGAAGGTGAGATAAGGTTTAACCTGATGGCTATTGTGTCTGACAGAAAGATGATATATGAGCAGAGGATTGCAGAGCTACAGCAGCAACTGGCACAGGTAGGCCATGGAATTTAAATTGCTAAAGTAGTTCCCTGATAGTTCTGTGTGTTGGCTTTACTTCCCTTCCTTGCTTTCAATGGAGCAGCAGCAAAAAAAGCAGTGAGTGATTGTTGGAGATGTGTCACCACAGTGTGGATGCACTCAGTGCTGCAGCTCTCAGCTGAGCACTCAGCACAGCGTTGACCATGTCATTTTGACTTTCTGCCTTGAGTCATTTGCTATGGTGCTGGAATTGGTTTTATTTCCCAGTGCCTGCTTGTAACTAACTGCAGAAATTCCTGCCATGTTCCTATAATGGTAAACAAAAATTAATCTTTCTGTGATAGAAATACCCTTGAGACAAAACTTGCTTTTCAAAAAAGTAAAATTTAAAAATGGAGTAACATAATCCATTTAAATTTTTGTTTTATGGAAGGAGGAGCCCATGGATACAGATCAAAGTAGTAATATGTTGAGTTCTATACAATCAGAAGTTGCAAAATACCAGATGTTAATTGAAGAAGAGAACCAAAAATTAAAAAGATATAAGGTATGTAGTCTTTGTTTTTCTGATTAAATTATTGGAACAGTTGTAAGTTAAAGCCAGCTTTTATATATATATATATATATGGGAGCTTTGCAATTAATCTGAAGGAACTGGATGGGGACTAGAAGATCATTCAACTATAAAATAATTCTTTAATGCTTTTAATTTTTTTTTTTAGATTGAAAATATTAGAAGAAAACATAACTACCTGCCTTTCATCATGGAATTGTTAAAGACTCTAGCAGAGCACCAGCAGTTAATACCATTAGTAGAAAAAGTGAGTATTGCCCATGTCATTTATTTTTATTTTTTTTGTTTATTTTTCCAAGTTCTTTGGCCAGGGACAGCTCCCTGCAGTCCTGTGGCAGCCGTGGCACAGTGCTGGGAATTAGGTCCCTCCCTTGTCCCTGCTACTGTGCTCGTTTACTGGCTTGGGTTTCCCCTTTCTAAGGTATCTAGCCATTAACATGGATTTACTGCTAAGGTTTGTATTCCTACATTACAGCTAACAGAACTTTAATAAACAAGTGTGTCTGCCACTTTGGCAAGGTTATTAAACTGGTTAAGTTACTTGAATTTTACTCAGCTCTGTGCTGGTGTGCACTTATGCTTGAGTGCCAGAGGCAGGATCCCTGATTTTGTACTCACTGAGAAAGGATCTCTGAATTGGTATAATGAAAAAAGAGCTGTGTGTTATTTAATGAGTACATTCCTTAGCTGAATTTATTGAGGAAGGTACATTTGCAGGCTCATAGTTTTTAAGAGAGTAACTTGTGGAGTTTTAATCCAGTTTCATGTTAACGGAAGTTATTGATAACACCCATCAAGCTGCTTTCACAAGTAAATTACCAGTGAATTGGTGGTAACAGATCTTAATTCTAAATCACTGAATTAGATGCTGTTCTGTTCCCTTCAATGAGTGGTAACAAGTAGCAGCCTGATTCAGAGTTAACTAATGTTTTGACAGAAAGTTGTTGGCCAGTATTGCTTCTGAGTTGTCCCCTTTTCTTGCCCAATCTCTTTCTTAAGTAAATTCACAAGGAAGAAAGTGCCAGTTCCTTACCAATTTAAACTGTTTATGATTGATGTAAGTAATGAGTCTGTCTGCAAATATTTTGACAGGAACTTTTGTGGGGTTTTTTTCCACTTGTTTGAAAGATCTAAACCATTAAGATCTTGGTTCATTTCAGAGTTCAGTTTTGATAATCTATATGTCTGAATGTGGTATTTTCTTATGACATAAAATGTTTCCATTAGGAAGAGTTTTTCTATGTTAAAAGAAATTGGTATGGAGGTATGAAAAAGGAAGGTTTAAATTAGGTTTTTAAAATAATGCTTTTCCCCTACAGAAGTTACCTAATATCAGGGGTTTTTTTGCATAATTTATTTAAACCTGTATTTGTTCTTAAAAGGGCTTAAACAATAACTTAGTAAAATAGTAGTAGGATGCTTCTGAAGGGTCTAAATTTACATTTATTTTTTTTTCTTTTTCAAGAATATTTTTAATATTCAGAAATGTAATGGGTAGTCATTCACAGCTCCAGAATGATCTTCATCTTGTCAAAGCTTGACATTATCTCCCCTTGTTTCCTAGGCAAAAGAAAAACAGAATGCCAAGAAAGCTCAGGAGGCCAAATGAAGATGACTTTGCAAAACACATACAGTTACTTGCTTATGATACTATTTTCATTACAACAAATAAAGCTTTTCATAAACTTCAATTTTTGTCCAGTGCACGTTTGCCAGTTGTAATGGTTTGTCTTGTACTGTTTGCATGGGTCCGACTCTTCTTCCCCTGCATCTTGTGCATGTAGTACTGCTGAGCAATGTTTAGGTTCTCCTGGTCACATTCAGTATTTAAGAGTCTGTCTGAAAGCTTGGGAAGTGGACCCAGAAATGTGCAAGGAAAATGTCCCCATTTTGTCCCACTTGAACATGATAATGATAAAAATGCCAGAGGTTTAAATATAAGCATGAGCTTTCTTTGCTCATCCCTACTAACAGTTACAATCCTTTCCAGTTGTTCTGTGACATAGTCTGTGTCTTTGTTTTTATGAAGTATGTGTAATTTTTTTACAAAATGGAAAAGTTTTAATTTAGCTGTAGAAACGTTTGCAAAGACCAATGTATAATCTCAAAATAACTGCATTGCTTTAGTAGAAAAGATAATAAATATTCCCGTTTTTATTTTGGCAAACTTCTTTCTGTGGTATTTTATTATGGGATAAGATGATTAGGATATGGAGGTCATCAGCCTTGTGTCTTGAGTATATGCATTCTAAATTTGAGGTAGAAAGAAGGCACATGATTGTTTTGGGGAGTTAATATTCTTGGATATAAGGTATTCCTCTTCTGGAGTATGTTCAGTTTAAGTCTTTAAAGCACTGCTTTTTATTCATTTTGATAAGTAATATAAGGAAAAAAGGTGTATGGAAGATTACTATTAATGACAACATTGCTGTGGAAGATGCTTGAGCTATGTCCCATGGAGTAAAGGAAATACCTGGGCAATGGAGTTCACTGGGTGTCCTGCAGGCAGCATGTGAGCTGTGAACAGATTGTTTTGGTATGGATATTAACAGGCCATTGCAACAACACACACTGTTTGAATTATTCACTGTCAGTGTACATGTGTTTGTTTAGAAACTTCCCGTTTCTTCCTAAAAGACTCAGATAAGAAACAGAAAGAAAAATACATTAAACATTCTGTTATCTGTGGTGCTTTGTGTATATATATATTTATATAAACAAGATAAAATTTTGGCTGAAGAAGTAAAACATAGACTATGCTTTTCACTGCTGGAAGGATCTCCTTGAGTCATTGCTGTGGCTGGAAAGGTAAGCTCTGTTTTAAAGAAACCTGAGATCCATATCTGTGTTTTGTACAAAATTGATTAGGTTAATGAGAACATAATTCTTACTTTAGTAAGTCACTGCAGCATTATTGTCCAAGGACACAGACTCTTACAGAGGAAGAGACATTTCTGCTTTTAAAATTACATTTGAAACTCCATTTCAACCTGTTGAAAATATTTGTGTGTCTTTTTAAATGGTAGTCTGATGACTTCTGCTGCATGCTGTCATCCTTGAAGAGTTTTGCAATTTGATATTAGATGACAACTTAAATTTATACTGAAATAATTTCATTCTCCTCTTACTGGTGTGCTTGTACACAAAAGGAAAAGGAATTTTGCTGAAGCAGATGATTATTTTTGCAATTATCAACAAATTTTAGTAGCAATTTTTTTCAGAAATTAGGAAACTTATATTGCAAGCTACCTTTCTGGATTTGTGAACGGACAAAAAAGGATGGATGTAAAGATGAAATTTGAACAAAATTTGTTAGTCTAATGTATAAGTGAAAAATGCTTAGTTTGTTTAAAAGGCTGTTTAATGCAGAAGTAGAACATTTCAAAACTAGTGATTTCTGTTGTATTATTAATGTTTTTCTGATCAAACTTGTGGCATTTTTTTTTACTTTTTTTGCCAAATGTGTAGAACCATTTTTTTATATGTGTCTTGGCTTTAAAGGCAGTTATTTGTCTATTAGGAGAGCATCACATGAATGCAGAGCTGGACATGAAGTTCATCGTGGCTAGGGTGGGATACAGTTCATTTTGTCTTTGGTAACTGGTGCAGTGCTGTGTTTTGGGTGGAGCATGAGAAAAATACTGGTAACACACTGATGTTTTCAGTGATTGCTAAGCCTCCCAGAGGGTCACAGTCGCCTCTCAGGCATCCCCGTACTCTGGCATGGGGTTTCTCCATGGCCTGTGGGTGGAATGCTGCATCTCCATGGACCTCCATGAGCTGCAGGGGCACAGCTGCCTCACCATGGTCTTCTCCACAGGCTGCAGAGGAATCTCATTTCCAGCTCCTGAAACGCCTCCTGTCTGTCCTTCTTCACTGCCCCTTGATGTCTGCTGTTCCTCTCACATATTCTCACCTTGCTTTTCTCCAGCCATGATTATAACTGCACAACTTTCTTGTCTTTATTCTTACATCTATCACAGAGGCATTGCCACCATTTTTAATTGGCCTAGCCTTGGCCAGCATCATCTCCATCTTTGGAGCCACCAGGGATTGGTTTTGCCAGACATGGAGGAAGCTTCTAGCAGCTTCTCATGGAAGCCACCCTTACAGCTCCCCATACTACCAAAAACGAGGCCATGCAAACCCAGTACAGCTGGTTTCAGCCTCTGCCTCCCAAACCTTGTGAGTTTTAGCAGCTACACCTGAGAGATCAGTGAATGACCGTTTTGCCCTCAACTGCTTTTCAGTGTTTGACTCATCAATGTAGGGTAGAAAATTTTATCTTGTCTATTAATTATGCAAATAAGTGCATACATGCCTACGTACTTCCTGGGGGAAGAAGTTCAAGAAGAAGGTGGGGTTTGTGTATGAAAATACAGGAGACTCCTTTTCTTTCCCTTTTTCTTTTCAGAGAGCACAATGTTAATGGAAACAATGGTAAGAAAAACAGCTGCGTGGGAGAGTCTGTAATAAACTGCCACATAAACAACCTTCTGATACCGAATTGCTAAAGTCTAAGTACATCCAAGTTGTAAAGACTTGAGACTTCAGAAGGAAGGTGAGTAAGTTATTTTATGGCTCATATTTTTCATGCCGGTAACAATGTCTAAAAATGCGGGTGTTGGAGTAGTGGTTACTGCTGCCTATAATCTGTCCCCAACAAGCCTCTCCTCTGAAAAAGCAAGTTGAGATAACCTTTAGGCAACACAGCCAGACCCTCAATCAACACTCACTGCAGCTGGCTCAGTGATAGAGGCAAGAAAGGCTCTTTTTGCAGGGTTTTATTCCAGCGGAGGATATCACGTGTGGCTGAAGGGAACCCAGCAAGGTAAAAAAGAGAACGACCACGTGGAGAAGACAGTTTAAGAAGGGGAAGGGGTGGGGGGCAGAGCTATGGGCTGGGCAGAGGGGTTTGGTCTCCAGGGAAGGGAGGGTGGCCACCAGGGATACCAGTCCAGTGAGGGGCAGGGAAAGGAGAAACCAGGGGAAGTTACACAGGGGAAGTTGCGGCATAGAAGTCCAAACGGGAAACCACTTTTCCCCCAAGGGGACTGACTCTATGGTGAGTAGTTACTGCCGTTGCCAGGGCCGATGACTTGGGAATTGACCGGGGTGGGAGAGTTCATGGGATGCTACAGGTCTGCCTAGCAAAGCCACAGAAACACTGGGGAGAAGCAGACTGGAGATACTGTGGCCTTATGTACAAAAACAAGAAGTTTCCCTAACGGAAGAGAAAGTGTGCTTCTCAAAATAGCTGGCATTTGTTATCAGGCTAAGACTTGTGCGTTCCATGTGCCTCAATGAGCATATAAAAAGAATCGATTCATCTCTGAGAAATTGATGACACTTGCTAAAATTAAATCAGTTTAATATCTCAAAAATGTGTACACAATGTAAGCTCTATCTGTGCTCACAGGATGTTCTGATCTTTTCACTGTTTTTTTATTTAGCAATTATGTCAGTAGCTTATGTAGAAAAATAACATCAAAAATAGCTAACTCACCAAACCACAAATACTATCTCTTTCTATCTGTTTCTGTCTGGTAATAAGACCAAATTCCAGTGTTACTAACTTTCACTCAACTTACGCATATCCTCTAGTGATTTTCCTTTTTCTTCTTTTGTAAATGCTGCTTCTTTCACCTGCTAGACTCAAAGAAGAGTAGGGAACATTATGACATGTCATAATGATGACATAAAGATTATAAAAACCTTCAAGAAAGCTTGAAAAAATCTTTTATAAATAACAGAAAGATAGCAACTTTTTTTTTACAAAATCTGTCATCTTCTCAGGTGAGTTCAAAAACTAATAGTTGAAATATCAAATTAAAACAAAATCTTTAAGTGTTAGGGTTAATGATGCAATTCTTGATGAAAATTTACCAAAACCAGAATAACATATACAACAGGAACAAACTGTACTGTATATTTACAATAGAGAAATTTCAGTGTTTCCTGCTGAAATTGAACTGCTAGAATGATGTGTAACAGCTTTTTACCAGTACAGTAATAAGAGGAAACTGAGAATACTGTGCTGAAAAGAAATTTAAAATTAGAGGAGGAAATTCTTATTAAAAAGGTGGGGGTTTGCATGTGTGCCTGACAAAGAAGACATAGTATGTAGAATCTGGTAAAAGACTAACAGAAATTACTATACAGCTATTATCTCCAAAAAATAATCTCAGCCTACCTAAACAAATTTTGATGGGTTTTCACTGACAATAATATTTTTTGAACTGTTTTTTCCAGCATATGCTGCAGCTACATATATAAAAATATGTATATTACATATATATATTTGTGTATTATAAATTTGAGTTTTGTTTACATATCTCTTTTGAAAAGCCACTAAGGAGTTTAAAACATGTCCCTCTGTAACTTCCTGAACAATATGGTTTTTAAATAAAATCTCTGAGAACTGAGATCTGAATAAGCAGCAGTTCCTTGAGATCCACACTAATATAAAAACACCTAAACATGTTTTATGCAATTACTCATGTGTTAGGATTAGCTAAGGTTGGCCCTTGATTTTCCTGTGGAAATTGACAGTCCTGTCTTGTATCAGGTGTTCTCCAAGTACCAAACTTGGAGTCTTTAGGGATAACACAAAGCAAGGATAATTCCAGGAAACCACCAGCACATTTTCTTTTACTGCAGAAATGTGATGTGATTACAGAGATGTAAGATAGTCCTACCTTTTACATGTGGTAAGAGTGTTTTCCCTGGGAAATTTATTGGTAAAATTATTCAGATGGCACTTTAGTCATAATGTAATTACAGTAACTTGCATAAGAGTGGAGGATGCACAAGGTCTAGTCGTTGGAACAGAAGGCCAGACCATTCATCATCTTGCCACTCCTTGCTATGTGAACATGAAAAGTTGCTTAACCTTTACAATTTTGCTTACTCTGCAAAACAAGAATAAGGCTATGGGTTTACATGCAGCTAAGCAAAGGTATTAACTACCTTACCTGTCTCTCATTTTCTCCCAGTTTTACAGTACATAAATACACCTGCCAGAAAGGAACAAAAATTACCTTGTTAATTTAGGTGTTTTTCAGCTTTATACACACACACACTGGAATTCTTACAAAATATAATTGTCTTAATTGTTTATCATCCCAACATATATGTTACCTTCCTAAGCTCATTAAGAAGCTGCTGTAAAATGTGATGCTGCAATGCTATGAAGGAAAAGAACAAATTTCAACCAAAGTAGCACTGGTGCAAGGAAATGAAATAAGGGGTCACACTTCAGCTTTTCTGTAGAGACAGAATAGAAAAGGACATACAGCAAGGAAGTGAAGTGCAAGATAAAGAGGTGGAGCATATGACACTTGGCAGAGGCTCCTGCCCCTGCCCAAGGGACTCAGACGCCAAGGGGACACCATGGTCACTTCAGCAGAGGGCACTGGAGTGACAAGGATGTGGTGTGGTACTGCCTCTGCCTTGCTCTGCCTAGTGGAACTACAGACTTGCTCTGCTGCAAATTCTTGTTCTTTCTGTTGCTTCAAAATTTTTATCCCAAAAAGAGAGGAGATGTGCTGAATGACACTGGAAGGTCTGAGATTGCAGCAAAGCAGGCAATGACATGTAAGTAAAAAAGGCAATAAGGAAGAGAATCTGGGGCACATACTCCTGAATCACCATTCTGCATCCCACAACACCAGTGGGACAAGGATGATGAGTTGGGATGCTTAAGGAAGTGAAACCTCTAATAAGAAATAATCAAAATGAGTTTCTTACCTTCTTTATAGTTTCTTCTTTTTTCACAGCAGCTGCAGTCAGAGGCTGTACTTACATAGACCTTCGGAGTCCAAGTAGGCTGGAAACACAAACATTAATAATGTTATTGATATTTTACAAATTTATTCTGAACAGCATCAAAGAACTGCAAAAAAAATTTTAAACCAATCTGATGTTTGGTGGGTTATATAGTATTATTTATTTGTGCAAATTGTGAATTTGTGAATGCTTGGGAGAGAAGCTTTCAAGGAGGAACATTTTACACATATGGACTTGACATTCCTTTAGATCCTCTAGGCTTCTTTTATACATCAGAAATTGATATCTTGTGTGTTCTGTTGGAGATACTTAGCATGTCCACAGTGTAAGGCTGATTTTGCTAACATTGTTTTATTACTTAAAATAAGCATATAAACTAGCTCCAATAGTAGCATCTGTATCCCATGGCTTGGATGACATTCAGCATGCTCTTTAATGAACATCGGATTCTTTTTTAATGATTATGTTGGATGGATACAGTCTTCTGCTTTTGTCAGTGGAATTTTATAAAAGTGCAGGAATTTAAGGTTTGTTAAAGTGATGGTTTTAACATGATGGTCAAGCATCATGTGGTAAGGATTTTCTTTTTTATAATCTGTGGTTTTTATGCAAGAATCTTCACTGTGTGAAATGCTTGCAGCCACCTGGAGAAGTATTTAATTCTTGCCTTCCATTCTGATATCACAGGTTTCAGAATGAGAATTTTTCCTTTATTATCAGCTTTACAAGTCGCATTGCTAACTAAAATAGCAAACTGAAACACTGCCAAGATGTTTAAAAAAATACACATTTCTTTTTTTAAAGACAGCTATCCTGGTACCTCAGCTCTAGAGCAGTTTTATATGGAAGGAGTAATATAAAAGTTGAATGGTGACATGATACCATTTGACAGTTACACTGATATTTTAGGTATTTCTCTCAGTCATAGAGGCTAAAATGGGAAGTAATTTTTAATGTAAAATTTGAAGAACATTACTAGTGTGGACACAAATGTCAGATCTTAGAATCATGCCTACACATTATCCCCTTTTGGATGGGAAAAAAGAGACAAACGAATTGAAAATTGAGACTAGATGCGGTAGAATAAAAACTCATTCCTGTAGGTTTTTACGAACATAAAAGAAAGAATGTAAACAAGTGGAGATGAATTATAGCTGATTTAATGATAAGCTGAAATGATATTTGAAAACAGTAATCCTAAAGACAAATAACATTTTGTGTTTCCAATGCTAAAAGCAGTGTATCATGCAGGAAGAAATGCTGCGTAACTGGGGAAAGCAGATACTAAAAATAATCTAAGTTATCTACTGGGATCAGATCCCAACAAGAGAAGAAGCTAATCTACAAATTTCTGAACTTTCAGAAAACATAATGAAGAATAAACATTAGAAAAGCATGATTCTGATGGAAGTCTAAAGTGGAGTTTGAGAATTAAAGTGCTCATTTGTGCAGTGTTACATAATAAGAACAATAGGGGGTTTCATATCCCACTTCTTTAAATTTCAACCATGTATTACTGTGGTAACCTATGCCATGGTACTGAAAATTGTTGTTAGCATGTTCCTACTGGTAATGCAATTAAATGTTGAGGGCAAACATAAACTACATGAAAAATGAAACCTTTCCACAATACAGGAACCAAAAGACAAAGTGGTAGAAGTCCCCAGACTGGAATATTAAAACCCAGACTGAACAGAACATCAGAAGACTGTACAGTCACTTGCTAGAAACTGGGAAGTAACAGGATTTAGCCCCTGACCATTTCCAGCTTCTGTGACATTAAACCAAGGTTGCAAAGAACACCTACCATTTTAGCTATTCCTAATGCCATCTACTTCTACTCAGGACACTGACAACTCCAACAAGGTCCACGTTTCTACTGTAACATTTAAAGAGGCATCTGCAAAAGATGGCAATTGTTGATTGGAAAGTTTCTGTGGTACAGAGTATCAGACTGGTTGGAAACACCTTAAAGTTCATCTTGTTCCAAACAGGGACAACTTCCACTAGACCAGGTTGCTCCAAGCCCTGTCTTGTCTGGCCTTGGCCATTTCCAATTTACACTTATTCTCTAGCTCATAGGAAAACTTTTGCTAAGTCAAAGGTGCTCTTTGTAAATATCCTAATCTTCTGTGTTCGTAAGATCTCAATGCCTTTGACTGTGGCTAGAAAACTCTGTTTTCAGAAATTAATAGCTTTTCTTAATACTATTTTATTTAAACACTGATCCTTGATTAATATTAAGGTTGTTTTGGTGAAAAAGCCTAAATAATAGAGATTATTTCTTTAGTAAAACATATAGAAATAACACTTTTAGTTACTAGCATCACATTTCTTGTAACGTTAATGACCATCTGTCTGGGGTCAGTACAAGAGTCAGAAACAGAAGCTGAAGAGTAACCTTGCCCTATGTAGTTTTTTTTGTGTGTGTAGAAATTTCTGTCTTCTGTCTGCATGTCACAACCCAGCTTTCTTTTGCAGGCCTGGTCTCTTGAGTCCCTGGCTCTGGGCATGGCTGCTTCTGACTTGACAATGTCCTATTTATATTTTATTTCCAGGTCATCCAATGCTGCACTTCAGATGCTGAACTGACAATAATACACTGGGTGCTCCTTACAATGTTATTAAAGGAAAATAGAAAAGCACTGATTCCCTGCACAGCATCCTGCACAAGGCATCACAGCAGGATTGATCCCACAAAGCCTCTAGCTGGGCATAGATGTGATAAAATAAATGGGCAATAAAACGGGACCACTGAATACCATTTTTATTCTTTAAATATAGCTTCCTTTTAATTTTACACCATATTCATATTCTCATAAACAGGCATAAAGTAAATGCTACCTTGAAATGTCCTGATGCTAAATACTTAGCTCTTGTAACAATTTTAAACTGACGTGCTTAGTAAATGCTGCAATGTAAGTGACTGCAAGACATTCTGTAATTGCGTTTTAAAATTTCTTCTGTATCCCAACTAGTTCTGACTGTGACACAGGAAAGCTTGGAGGGTCCCAAAACATCTTACCTGTGATATTCGTTAAAGCTGAGGATGATTTGTGTCCTGCAGCACACAAAGCTACGGAGGACCTTCTCCAGCACCCAATCCATCTCTACGCCTTCACTTGGGAATGGCGGGCAAAACCGCGAAAGCTTTGCCCTGCACGGCCACGTAAGAGGGAACTTAATTTGTGTTATTTTTCCCTGAAGTATGACAAGTAACCGGCTTGAAGCAATAAGGTGTGATGGCATGAGGCAACCGTAGCGTCCGCCAACAGAGGTTCCTGAGGGAGAGAAAATGGCGGGCGGGGGCCTTCAGCAAGCTCCCAAAACACAGGAGCCACTCCGTGTGTGAAAAGCCTCGACCTCCACCCCCGAGCCCGCTATGACAAGAGGAGGTGGGAGGGGGGGAAAAGAGACCCCACCTGAAAGGAGGAAGGCATCTGACATTGGAGACCGTCCCTGAGGGAGCGCGAGGTACCCTGCCCGAGACGGGCGACAGCTCCCCCGCCCTGCCCTCACGGGCTCCGGGCCGTGACTCGGCTGTTTCTCCCCGTCCCGTTCCGTCCCGTCCGGTCGCGTCCCGGTTGCGGGGGAAGGCGGGCGCAGGAAGGGGCGGGTGGTGCGGAGAGAGAGAGAGGGAGGGAGGGAGGTGGGCGGTGAGACGAGCAGTCGACGCACAAGATGGCCGCTGCCGGAGTGGCAGCGGGGCGGCGGCGGGCGATGGCGGCGCTGCCCCGGGGCCCGCGTGTACTACTGGAGGAGCAGCAGCAGGGTGCTGTGGCAGCCCCGGCGTGCCGGAGCTGAGGGGGCCGGTGGGCGCTGCAGGAAGCCCGGCCCGCGTGGTGAGCGCGCTGCCTCCGCCGCGGGGTGCGGGGAACAATAGGGCGGGAGAGCTCTGCCCGCCTTGCCGAGAAAGGAGGCGGAGAGGCGGGCGTTGGGACGAGATGATTTCCAGAGGTGCTTTCGACTTCTAACAATTCCGTGACTTTGCGCCTTGCCAGGCCTCGGGCTCCTGCCGAGATCGATTTCCGAACGCCTCGGGCGGGCGGGGAGGGACCGCTGTGCCCGATGGGGGGAGGCGGAGAGCGGCCGGGTCCGGCTGGGGGTGGGGAGAGGCGGCATCGCCTCAGGCTGCGGCGCCAGAGGGACGGGCGGCTTTTGTGTGCCCCCTCTGCCTGCTGTCGTTTTTTCCAGGGGTTCTGCCTGCCTCTGCGCGAGAAAACTCGTCCCTGTGTCGCGTTGAACAATAGAGACGGAGGGAAAATAATGACAGAGCCCTACCCGTCCCCGGGACACCTCTCCGCCCTGGGTTGTGGCTCTTTTGTTTGTCGTGCCTGAGGGAAGAGCGAGGTGGCCGTGGCTCCCTCTGCATGGGGACAAACGATGGTGAAACCGCACAGGATCTCCCTGACTTGCACTAGTTTTTCCACTCTGGCGTTGTTTTGGCTGTTGGATTACACCCACAGAGTGGGTAGGGTTTCATGCCGGGGGTGCGGTGTTGGTGTAGCTGGGATTTAATTTGCTTTGATGGTTGGGAATGTCCTGGTGTCAGGTTTTGTCTTCAAAAGCCATTGTGAGGTCTGTCTTCTTTTAAAAGCAGGGAGCTGATGCAGGTTTTGGTTTTTTCTCCTAGGAATTGCGAATGTTTTGTTTACATCTACATGCCTTCTTGTCCAGAGTGTGTCTCTTATTTTTATACATTTTAGTCAAGTACGAGTGACAAATCATTTGTTCCTCCGGCAGAAGCTACGGTTTTCTGTCTTTTTTTTGCCATATTGAAAATGGCTGAAGTGGGGGAAAAAATTAAAAATTTGCAAAAATAATTAAAAGGTTCAAAGTAACCTGGATTGTGACTGAGCTGCTTTAATCATTGTAACTGGTGTAGCAATGCTGTCATTTAGTGACTCTGCTGGAAGATAAATGCAGCATTTATACTCTATTCACATTATTTGGCTATAGAAATGTGAGATAATACAGGAGTACTCTGAGGCAGAAGTTAATGTATTCCTAAACTTATGTTTTCTTACTTCTTTCAGGCTTATGAGGATGTGGAGGTGGTTAATTTTGTCAGCTATAAATGTCTGTATTGCTGTGTTTGAAGTCAATGAAGCTAATATGGGACTTCATGGCTATATAAATAACCTGTGTTCAGGAGCAGTTTGTACATTATTGCCAGTTTCTAAGCTTCACCAGGAGCACCATGGCTTTCTTCAGTGCATTAATACACAATGCTGATAATGAAATTGTGCTTCCCACTAACATAAACAGAAGCAGATGTTATCAGGCACGTTTTCCTTTCCCAGTGATAGCTTATGGCTTTGCCTTCCTGTCCTAGAGAAGGGTCTGTCAAAGCAGACAGCCCGACAGGCTGCTTGGAGGGAAATTTAGAAAGGCAGGTACCATCAGAGCAGTCTGTTTTGACAACCAGAGACTTGAGTTTTTCAATCACTTATGAGCAGCAGGAACCTTCATTGACATAAGTGGGAAGTAACTTGTATGGTTTCTGGTGTTTTGCTGTTCGTTTTTGTGAGTTTTTTTTTTTTTTTTTTGTCAGCTTTGTATCTAAACTAGCTTTGTTTAAAGTGAAATATTTTAGAAATTTCTGACAGGATTGTTGTATGCTGATAATTTAAAAAACTACTGTTCCAGTGAACATAAGCTGGACATATGATAAACATATGAATCTGGAAATGGCAGACATTAATATCACAGAGTTTAATTTAGGGGCATCTTGAGGCATGTATTATTATATAAAAGTGCTCATGCAGATGAAGAGAAATGAGCAGGAATGCTTTTGGAAACTTCTGATGTGTTGCCAATGATTCACCAGCAATCTGGGTGGAGCCATTATCAATCTTGTTGAATTAAGCATCACAGAAGTTGACATTCAGTGAGTGTGTATATTAAAATAATAATGCTTAAATTACTTCATATGTGGTTCAGAAGTCTTAGGTGACACCGATGCTGCGATGCTGGCTACCTTTGATATGGATGGCAAAAACTGACATCCCATTTAATTAGGGTCTCTATCTCTTAACTAACCCGTGCTGTAAAAGGTATTTTTGTGATACTTAGGAAATTGACCTTTCCCAGTGTGTAATACGTAGTGATACGAAGGATAATTACTTTTTTTTTTTCAATTCTGCACCAAGAATTTGGTTTACATGCTGGATACCTGGGGAGAAAAAGTTTCAGCCATTTGAAAGAGCTTGTGGAGTCATACCTTTCCAATGGTATGACATGTAAAGCTGAATTAGAAGGAAAGAACTCATCTGCATGTAGGTTCCCAAACTTCCCAAGAATCTCAGAACAGTGATGCAAAAACCTCTATAAGCTATCTTTTAAGCAGGTGATCTTTATAAAACTTTGTATATTTTTGCAAAACCTACTCATTATTCAAAATTCCTTTCCCACCATAGACTCATGGAATTATTTTGCAGATGAAAGTCTGTGTGGTTTTGTGGTGGGTTTTCCCACACCCAGTAAATCAGGTGGTTGTTTGCTGGAGCATCCCAAGTAACATTGGCTGGTGGGCCAAAAAACAAATCTCAAATCTGACTCCAAGTACATGGCAGATAAACATTGGGGAATTAGTAGTTTGAAGTTCCTGTCTTGGACTGTACTGGGTAACAAATGGGAAACCATTATCATAAGGGGAAAAAAGATATAACATGTTGCTATTGTGAAAGATTGTTATATAAACACAGTGCACTGACTGAAATTTCAGTGTGACCTTCAAGATTCCATGTAGGCTTTGTTACAGTAATGAAGTCTAGGGCCTCTGCTAGCTGAGAAGGGAAGCCACAAATGCTTACTTTAATTATATTACTTTCCTTTCTGAGCACAGGTTCCACTGTGTACCCAGAATTAGGTGCAGTTCCCATCACTGAGTCTGACCAGTGTCAGACTGTTTTGCTGAAGGAGTGCATTTCTTGATAATTACTTTTTGCATCAGTCTCATTTTCTTCATTACCAGTACAGTTAAAATTGAAATGGTATTAGATTTCCACGGGCTAACTAATTTCCTAATGAGGTTTTTTATTTGTGGAAGTGTGTTAATGGGCAAGAAGGTGCAGAAGTCCTGATGGCTTCTTATAAATAGATTTTTTGCTATAAAAATAATTTCTGGCTAGAGTGCTTGAGGAAACAGCTTTCCTGTTACTGCATGGTAGCATCATATGTGGTGCTATCAACTAGAGAAGAAAGAGATTTTGGTGATAGAAATAACAAGAATTGTAAATAATTTGCTGTAAATGTGTGTTGTCAGAGACAGTAGCAGTTGTGCACTGCTCTGTGTTAGAAAGTGTAGAGGGTTTTTTTTGTGCAGCTATGATGGGTGTCCTGGCCACACACTGAGATTACTTCCTAATGGAGTGAGAAGGAAGGCTGCTGCAGGGGTCTAAGGGAAACTTTCAGTGGGTAGAGATGACTTATATGCATCAGGGCATATATGCATATACAAAAGACATCCTATGCAGACTTTTACATGAAAGCCTCTGCCCCATATGCTAGGTTAGCTTTTCTTCCCCTAGGAAAAGAAAAAAAGTATTTCAGGAATCCTAAAAATCACATGGAGAATAAGATCTCTCTTTATCACTTGATTGTACAAAGGAGGTAGAGGCCTATATAAGCTACGGTGTAAGCAACCTTGTTAGAATCAAGATATTTTTAGGAATGTGGGCAAAAATCTTCATATGAGAGATAAATGTGAGAAGGAGAGGGGAGACAAGGGAAAAGGATTGTTTTGACACATAAAAGGATACTTTTTTTCCTTATTCTGCTACGTAAGAAATGGAAGATACGCAGTTAGACTGAAAAGTAGTGTAAGTGTTGCTGGAGAAACAGATCTTTCACTTGCTTCACATAGGTTGTGACAGAGTTGCCATGTAATTTGATACAAAGAACACAGAAGAGAGTGTTTGTGTTGGGGAGCACTATGGTGAGTCTGGAATTCAATATTGCAGAAGCTGGAGGATTTATTGAGTTATGCCTTCCAGCCATGGTCACTAAAAACACCATAAGGACATGTTGTTCTTGCCTCTTTTTGAATAGACTCCTCTCACTACAGATTGCTTGCAAAACCACTTTTTGAAGTATTAATTTTCAATTACTGATTTTCTGGTGTTTATGGTTTGCATGTTATATTGATCTGAGACAGGGCAGCTTCAGCTACAAGACAACTGAAGAAAAAAAGTGTTTGGTGTAGCTGAAATATGCTAGGCTGGGCAAATGAGAACTCGCAGGTGGTTCCTTATTTGTTTGTTTTTTGTTTTAATATGGAAAGCCTGGTTGGTTTTATCTGTCTACTTGTCCAGTTTAATAGGTATTTTTAAAATTGTCTAATTAAATACTCTTTCAAAGCAGGCTGTTAATCTTAAATAAAATTCTGGGGATTCCCAATGTAATTATTTTTCAGGATGCTTCTGTGTATATTGGACCCTGTCAGAATAAGCTTTGAAAGTTGAGGTATGGTTGTTTTTAAACCTGTTGTTGTTAACAAAATGCTGGTTGATCAGCTGATGGAGCAGGAATGTTTCTAGCTTGGATCTAAAGGTCTTCTCAGCACTTTCTCCTG